GGCCTCTCTGAGATTGTGAATGCCTTCTTACTATCTCCTTTGTCTACTCCACTTTTATGTACTCGATCATTCAGATCCACAAATCGTGGCGGATGAAATTGGCGGCCTGGAAATTACAATCATCGTGACGATCGTAGTGGCGTGCGTGTGCGTATCACTAGTCGTGGTTGTCGTCTCGCGCTGCGTGTACCAGGCCAAACACGACCGGGGCAATTCAACATCGGACGAGAGCAGCAGGATGGCGACTCCCATCAATATTGTGACATTACCGCAGGAGGATAAGGAGAAAGAGAAAGGCAGTGTGGCGTGGCAGGACTTACCCAATTGCTACGTACCGGAGTCGTGTACGGCATCACCGAAAAAGAAAAGCGTAAAGGAGTCCGCTAGTTACATTGTGCAGCCCACGCCTAGCTCCACGCCGAGTAGACCGATCACGCTGAAACCGCAGCAGCAGGGTGGCAGCACACCGGACACCACGGCAAATCAGTCGGACGCCGCCACCGACCTAGACAGTGTGTTCTGTACGGTGACGCCCATGCAGGCATTGAGCTTACGCGGTGATTCACCGCCGCAGACCACTAGCCAATCGGGTACGCCGATACTACTCAGTAGTCATCTCGGCGCAAACAAGAGCAACAGACTCTCGGCGGGTCAAGTGTCACTAGACGGGCCAGAGTACGCACTGCAACGTGGCACGTCGGAACGCGCGTCCACACGCTCTGCTAACAATACTCTGGGTCGGCCTCTGAATCCCAGCCCTCTGTCGACTGACCGGTCCCCAGTGCATGCTGTCAGAGCAGGTGCGGTGCTGTCGGGGACAACCACCAGCACCGCTAGTGGACAGAATCTCGCAATGTACCCGGGTTCCCTAACTCCCGGCTGGCCAACGGTCGTCACCTCCAACGGTGTTCGACTGCAGACTGAACGGCGAATGCACGGACCGGACGATCAGTATCGGCATCCAGAGGACGATCAGATCCACCTGCTCTATAGCAGCACACCATCGTATGGTAACCCGTCACCTAACACGACAATGCGGGGCCGTTCAAACACTCTGCCCTATCCTGATCTCATCTATTCCTATGACTCGCTGAAGGCCGAGGTGGACAGTCTGCGGCGAAAGGCATCGGCCCGGCAAGGGAGCAGTGTCGACTCGAGGCAGCAATCGGCACTGCACACCGCTGACGTCTGAGGTATACTGTGATAGCAGCAGTGTCGACTCCAGGCAGCAATCGGCACTGCACACCGCTGACGTCTGCCGTATGCTGTGATAGCAGCGTCGCCATAAGGTCAGTTCTGCACGGGCAGGCATGCTATGAACCAGGCAGCACTGAGCCACTGAGACTTGCACGAGTACGGTATGAGCTGCCCTGTCTTCGGCTATAAGGTATTACGACAACTCAGGTGTCTGGATGCCTTGTACATTAGCACACACATGACAGTGTGTATGGGCTGATTTCGCGCACTCAGCGTTATGTACGTACATGTGCCTTATAAATATATACACGTGAGTGTACTGGAGAGAAGAGAATTGGCGTGACTTCAACTAGTTCTAGGCGATATGACAGTTGGACATCATATGCGGCCATGGTAAAGTTTATTGAATGTTGATTTTTGAGCCGGCAGAAAATACTTTTGATTCACAGCGGACATATGCGACACTGTTGATGTAATTATGTACAATATGAAATCATGAAAATCATGCTGGCATGCCGTATTACAGCTGGGGACTATCAACACTATTGAGTGAGAATCTGTATTATTACCATACAGTTTAGATCTATGGAGGAAGTCCAAGGTCCAGCACATTATGTGTATGCATCGTAATCATGATTCTGATGGCTTACTTCCGGTTGATATCTCAATACTGTTACCACCTGATGTTCTGTGATTGGCTGTGGAAAGAGATAGGGCTAAAAATAGGGTCAATGCTGAACCAGGATACGAGCGTGGCTGCCGTTGACTTGGATGCCCAGACCATGCACTCGAGCATCCGACTTTGTCTACCTATAATGTGAGTCTTCATGAAGAGAGGAAAGAAAGAAAGTTTGTTAAAAGTAGGAGTGGCGAACAGATATTTCCAACCGTGCGTCTTACCTGCCAGCCACACCGAGTTGCCTGGGACTGTCCCGCTTCTGAAGGTGGTAATTTTCACCCAAAAGTGCATTTGTTGCACGCCTCACAGCTAGATATGTGTACACGTTTTTCAGACGATGGTGGTGGTGGTTGTGGTGGTGGTGCCGCAATAGGCTAGGTGAAGGGTTCCCGCTTCAAGTGCACGACATGCAACGACTACGATCTTTGTGCATAGTGTGAGCATCTTGAATTGCACGATGAGCACCGACTTGTGTGCATTCGTGAACCAATGCCATTGTTCTCATTTATTATAATATTAATTTTTGGTCTCGGTGGTTGGGGGGGGGGGGGGGGCTTTCCTGGTGAGGTCTCGTGCTAGAGGCCATTGTGGCAACGGAGCCAGTAGAGCAGCAAAGCAATGTGATACAGGACAGCCGGAAGCAGTTTTAGTCCGGTCCTAGCATATTATCTGTCATACAGTTTGTGTATGATAGTAGGCACACAGTCATACCCTCCTCAGTACTAAACATGCGCTGACGGTGGCCAACAAGTTGGTCTGGTGATGACGTGAAGAACACGAACGGGAGCGAGCGGTTCCGGCGGGACTGTGATGCATGTAGGTGGTTTGGTTGTGGTAATTGTGACGGTCCACGGTCCACGGTCCACGGTGTTGTTTAGGCACACCGGCACCACAAGGACCCTCATCTAGTCTATGTGCTGCTGGTGGTGGTGCTGGTGCTGGCGGTGCTGGTGCTTGTGGTGGTGCTGGTGCTTGTGGTGGTGCTGGTGGTGCTGGTGGTGGTGGTGCTGGTGGTGGTGGTGCTTGTGGTGGTGGTGGTGATGATGGTCGTGGTGGTGATGATGGTCGTGGTGGTGGTGATGATGGTGGTGCTGGTGCTGGTGGTGCTACCTCTTCCGTCTACCGCAGCTGCTGATCAAGTCTTTGGCTTCAGCCCAGAACAGCTTGCATCCTTTGCCTCAGACTTTCCACAACGGATGATGCCTCCTCAACAACAGGAACAACGGCAGCAGCAGGGAGATGAAGGCAAACCTGATCTGTGGCGCAAGCAACTTGAAAAGGGAGAGGGTATGGACACTGATCCAGCAGGAAAGGAAGAGGGTGTGGGCATGCACTGACCCAGCAGGATTAGCATCAGCTAAGCACCAAGAAATTTGCCCAGGCACCTATCCTCGATGTGATTTCTCTACGTGGTTCATGTATAGCAGAATCTCGCTACCACAGTGTAAGAAAGTTCAGGCTGACATGAGACTGCTCCTCTGAGTACGGTAGGCTCGACTGGAACTGCCAGGTTTTGTACTCCGAACTCCGAGAAACACAGAGGAAATGCTTGAAAGAATGAAAGTGTACTAACACAGTCGAGCTTGCGATCCAGATCCCATTGTCTGGGTGCATCAGCTAGCCTGGCCCAAAGAAGCAAGTGAAGCCCCTACGCAAACAATGCATGCATACGTGGACAGCAAGGAGACACAACACGAGCCTTTCAATTGCGTCAGGGTAGAGCTCCCAGCTCCCCGACAGGGTGCCTTGGGGCCCTGTCGTAACACAAGGAAGAACTAATGGGAGTACAGAAATTAAAGAACAGTTCACCGGAGCTACAGCAAAAAAAGAGATTTCACGGACATCGCATTTATACACGTACACAGGCACACAAAATTAAATTACCCACACCAGAGTAAGACCATTTCGCAACACACAGAGCTGGCAGGTACAGTAGGGCAGGATAATACGAAGCATTCGACACAACTATGGCAGCTTCAGTATGCAGGCGATATCAGGAACATCACCATCGGGGAGATATCAACTAACTAGTTACACACATAATTGAAATACAGTCTACGATGAAGGACACACCTTTTTTAAACATTCAGCAGGACACATGAGAACTGTTGGTGCTGCCGGCACTAGCCGTGTTTCACGCAAGAACTAGAATGCACAGGACTACTTCGAAGCACTGGAATACTAGCAGGTGGAAAAACGCAATGATAGTACCCAAAGAAGTCGGACTGAATAAAAAGGCCCTATGAAATACAAGAGGTAAGCTAAAAACACAGCAGGTAAAGTAGTAAGTCACATAGCAAACAGAATCCAGTAACCATGGTAACTGCCTTCCTCTCTGGTAATACACTGTACTAGGATTTCAATCCGTCGTCACTCCTCAAAACCACACCATACAATAAAGCGTCCTTCTGCAGCGTCTTGTCTGGGACCGTGAGTTTCAGTTCACTGGCAGTTCTCACCCTTTTGAACCTTGACCCTAGGAGAGACAGAGGAGACAAATAGCAAGCACGATTGAGCGGTTCTGGCAACCCATTCATACAGATGAATCGAGGATGTCATCAAGGAATGCAGAAACAACGCAGCACCGCAAGGTCCTGATGCTGACAGATCGCGTTCAAGCAATCGAGAAGTCACAACAAGGACAGTCGGTACAACTGATCGCATGAACAAATTTGAAGCCCAGCGCAAAACGAAACTTCCATAGGGAACTTTTGATTCCTGGCTTCAGAAGCAGCAGCTGAATATGATGTCTGCAAAAATTAATCTTCTCTCTCTTCATCTCTCCGTCTCTCTCTCTCTCCAAGTGTTGTTTGACCTGAAATAAGAATGGCATTGTGCAATTCCTGGGGAAATGTATTAGCTGCATTTTTGACATACAGTCAACTTCGCTAATAACGACTGCGGATATAACGACAATTCGCGAATAACGACCGAATTTCCATGCCCAGAGCAAAGTCCCATCTAACTGTATACATTTAACTTCGGATATAACGACTATCTGAATAACGACAATTCGCGTATAGCGACATGCTTTTAGTGCCCCGTGGTCATATTCACTGCTTGAATAACGACTTTCTGGGCTTTTGACAGCTATTTCAAGTACCTGTCAGTCAAGTACATGTACCTGTCATGCAGAAGTACCAGAACCTATGGTGCACTGCACTGGTGATGGATATTATTTATTGCACACATGCCAGAAAATGCAGCCAAGGGGGGGGGCTTTTCTTCCTTTTTTTATGTTGGCTTCAAAATTGTTGGATTTACCAGCACACCTATAATTATGTATACAATGTACATGTAGTTGTACATGATTGTACAGTAATCATCATACATGTACATATCTCTAGCCCTGTAGATGGCTCAAAAAGGCATATTTTTCAATTGATTTCCCTTGCACATTGAATTTTTAGTTCCTTTCAACTGCAATATGAAAATAAAGTACACATTGACATAGAGCAAGAAAAGAGCTTGATTTTGATATGCATATCATACTATACAAAATATGGGTTCCCATACATTCAAATGGGACTTCGGTTATAAGGACACTTCGCGAATAAGGACACTTTTCTGATGCCCCGCCGAATGTCGTTATTGGCGAAGTTGACTGTACATATCATATTGGGATCCATAATTATAATGATATATGGTCGTGTGGTGCAAACCTCTAACTAAAGACCACCTGCCACTAAAGACCGCTTTTGCCGGCACCAAGGGGTGGTCGATAGTCACCGGTTTTACTGTACCAGTTTTTCATAAAGACCAAAAAAATAGCCCTGAAAGTTGTGCCATTCTAACAATAGCCACAGGAAATGATAAAATAGTTCATCTGTCACACTCCTGGCTATCCCTAATACAGTAAGTCACATGAAATCTTATCTTGCTGAAATTCAACTCGCGTCGTGTTAGCCATTCGGTGAGTTATTATGGGAAGCGTAGTGTTTGAAATTAGGGGTGAAACGAGTATCTATTTTGACCAACCGATCACTCATTCATAATATTCGATCGAGTATCCGATTATTTCGAGTATTTTATCGGAATTCAAAAGCGCTAGATTTGTGAGTTCTCGACTAATTCGGAAGAAATTATCTGTGAACATAGAACAAAAGTCGCCAACGTCTTGTACAGAGTGTAAAGTAACGATTTTCACCAGTACTTTCATTATCTCAAAACAATAACGTTACTTGCCGTGGTGATCGCATCGTCCAAGTCATAAAATACTGACTCAAAGGCACGAATAATGCGTGCATACCAGTCGATGAGCAGTACTACAGGAGTTTTTGAAAAATAGAATGCCAGTACTAAAAAAAAAAAAAAAAAACCGATCGAGTGCAAAATTTCGAATACTCGCTCGTTTGAGATTTTCGAACGAATACTCGAATATTCGAACTAATTGTTTCACCCCTATTTGAAATGCTAAAAAATTCCAAGGACGAATCGGGAGGAGTCGGTGCACAACATCGTCCCCTGTTCACACTCGAATGCAGCCGTTTTGTACGCTTGCGTTCCCGCATACGGTACGGAAAGTAGAACAGCCTCAACTCTTCCTGTCGCTTCCCGATCCGTACGGCAGACAGTCCCGAAGGTTCCCGTCGCGCGCACCGTCGAATGTGAACTAGGCTTCAAGATCAAGATTCCTGTGATCTTTCATAACTTGAAGGGATACGATTCTCATCACATCATATCTGCCATTGGGAGAACATCCACTGATGAGATTACGTATGTGAACGAGAAAGGACAAGAACGGGTACGTTACATATGCGTGGTGTGTGTGTGTGTGTGTGTGTGTGTGTGTGTGTGTGTGCGTGTGCGTGGATCATGATGTTTTTCTAAGAAGGAAGATCATTACTATGTTGGTACTCATATTCACGTTTATATGATTGATATTCATCTTTACAGCTGCACCTTAAAACTGTGTCTCCTCTTTTTCTTTCTTCTCAGACCAAGCGTCTCGGTGCTATCAAAGTGGTTCCCATCAACAGTGAAAAATATGTCACATT